GCAGGCTCATTCTTCATGTACACACAACAAAACAAATATGTGTGCATTTGCTATATATGCAATTGGGTATGGAAGGCACATGTGTTCCTCTGAGAAGGGATATCCATGTACTAATATGGTCTAAAGTTCTTAAACTAAATGCATTTTCATTAAATAATAGACAAATCATTTTCTCTCTCCCTCACTTGCCAGTACTTGCTCAACATCCCATGAAGAAATAAACATGGACAGGGGAGATGTCTAGTCCTTTCTGAGCAAAGAAGAGTTAGGTAAAGGACCATGGCACAGTGGCAAGGAGGATGAGTTATGGACATCAGTTCCTGGCATCTCCTGTTAAGAAATAATCAGGCAACAGATGATAGGAAAGGCCTGTTCCTGAGACTGGGTAGAAAATACTGGGCCTTATAGACAAACAAACTGACCCAGTATAAAACAGATTGAGTATTACAAAGCACTTCTTGCAAAATGAAATATGATAGACATGCACAGAATTACAACATACAAGTGGGTAGAGGGTTCAGAAAATAATGCAAAGTTCAAACTGATGAAACGAATTACATCATACTGCAGAGAACACATATCATCTTTTTAATTAGTAATTTGCAACATATGGAATCGTAAGATGAAACTCCTCTAATTATCTCCCGTGCTGCTTCAAAGAAAACAGAAAATTTCTGTATATAGAAATGCCATACTGTGCATACTTCACATTTTTATGTCTTTGATCTTCTGCCAACATATAGATATGAATCCTAGATACTATTGTAAATCCCTCTATACTTTAATGCCTGAAATGTCTTGCAGGCACTTGTTAGTGCAGTGATGATCCAAACATATTCCATAGCCAATTTCCAGTTGTTAACCTTCTCCTATCTTGAAACTGATTCTGTTTTCCCACTTGAGATAAGCCCAAACATTGACTGGCCTAACCATTCGAAAGCATGAAGTAGCTGCCTCAGGTAACAGATAGTAGGGGACAATGTTAAGGTGCTGAAAGACAGAGGTCTGGGAGTTGCATGGCCTGTGCTGTACACCCTAACCTCTTTGCTGGCCTCAGGCATGATGGAGAATGCTGCCCCATCAACAGCATTGGTCTTTGCTTCAGGTAACATAATAACTTGTTCTCTGCCAGTGGAAGAGTAGGTAGTGTGAGTAACTGTATTATTTTTATGATATATATAACACATTGATTACAACACAAACTCTTGAAATACAAACACTGCCACTGCAACTAGCAAAGGGAGGAATTCAGGAAATGGGTGGGATGAGGGTCCATAGCAACATTCCCCAACTGAGTGCCCTCCAGATGTTTTGGACTCCATCAGCCCCATCCAGTATGGCATCTGGATCCAAGGGCAGACAGGGGTTAACAACTGGGAACAGACACACAATTCAATCCTCTGATGCACACTCACCATTTGAAAGCAGAAGCATATTGCATTAGTTTTAACATAGTTCTTTTATGTTTGTGTATCATGATCCAGTGCAGGTCTATGCAGAAAGAATAGTGGTTACACACACACACACACACACACACACACACACTGCACAAACTTTGATTACTGGATTGTGTTAAGTATTGGCAACAGGGTAGTTCTAGTTCCTAATGCTTACTGGGAAACAACTCCTATTTCCTCAAGAGTTACAGCAAGGCCCCATTCACATGGATAAGTAAGTCTGGAGAGTCTGAGTAGACAATACTATTTTTTAAAAAATCCACATTGCTTGCCAGCGCTAGCTGGAGCTGTTTCTGCTTTTTACATACCATCACATCTAATTTTCATATGTGGGAGACCTTGAATCCAGGCTCAGCTCAGTGTATAGTTGTATAGTGGATACAGCACTAGGCAACTTGCATGTGACTGGTTAAACTCCTGGCAGTGCTGGTGAAAACCTCTGCAGCCTAACTAAAAAAAACAAAACCCACATCCCTGCCACAGCTTCAAATGGTCTGTGAATGAGTCAAGCCCAAATTTGTCAATTTCATCATGAGGCTCCCAAGCACAGAAGTTCTGTCCAAGTGAACAACTCACAACTCCAAAGTTCTCTCTTTCTAAAGTTAGGGATGATATGGGTGGATCCTGTGTCTGGTAAAAGTAACAAGAGCAAAATGTTTTTATCAATTCCCCATAGACGATTATTGGGAGTTACTGATCTAACATTAAATTGCAGCTGTTTTAAAAACACAATTAAATCAATCTTCTGTGAAATTTTCAAATAAACATTAGCCTCTTCTCCACCCAACCTGTTTCTGTTATGTGAAAACTCTGTGCCTCTTTAAACATTTAGTTGTGTGTAGGAAACAGATTATCCTGTTTGCCTTTATTATGATACATGTCACTCTCTGATCCCTTTCATGATTTGTCAATTCTTCGGATTATTTAACAGCTCCACAGTGAAGTTTCAAGAGGTGACCTCAGGACTCTGCCATTATTTCCCCAACAGACAGAAAAGGACAGGGACCTTGGTGTGAGCCCTTGACCTTAGCTGACAGCCCAGCGGCGCCGACAACATGCCAGCAGGGGAGTGTTGGGGGCGGACATAAAAGACAGATGGCCCAATTCATCATACACTAGGAATAAATAAAAGCAGCTTCAAGCACTGCTAGTGCAGTGATGACTGCACAGTCCACAAATATGGAAGCCTGCCAAACAATTATAAACACAAAGGATAGAATGGCTGATGCAAAGTGAGCCTAAGAAAGAACAGGAGGTGGAAGAGTGTGATGTGCACCTTCCTAAAGAAGTACCATACTTAAATGAATTTACACTAGCACAATGTATGCAAGTAGGTCTATTTTTCTGTCCTGAAAAAAATTACGGTAAACATCACAGTCAGAAGCTAACTTTAACTGTCAGGATAAGGCTGCACACTTAACATGGGAGTAAGTCTCAGTGAACTGAATAAGACTTTTGAGTAGGCAGGCATAGGAGTTCACTATTGATGACTGAACTTTCACATTTGTGTTAGCAAAGGCACTTCAACACAGATGATGTCCAGAGAGAAAAGAAACTGAAAATACTTTACTGCAGTGTTTCCCAATCTTTTTCTGACCATGACCCCCTTCCAACCTTGTTTCCTTCCTGTGCCCCCTTTTACAATAAGTAAAAACCAATGCAAATCAATACAAATCTGAGGTTCTGCCCCCTAACAAAAATCCTGGCTATGCCCATGTTCTACCAGTAGAAGCATAACTATTTTAAAGTTTTCTTTATAAAGAGAACATGTTTTATTTATAATTTTTTATAATTTATAAAAAATATAATTACATAAAATGATAGGAACACAATGAAATATTGTTGAAGCAGAAAAAACATAGAATCATAGAGCTGGAAGGGACCCCAAGGGTCATCTTTCTAGTGCAACCCCCTGCAATTAGGAAACTCAGCTAAAACATCTATGACAGATGGCCATCAGAAACCTCCAAGGAAGGAGAGTTCAGAACCTCTTGAAGGAGATCCATCTTCCATCTATTATAAAAAGTAAACAACACTTATTTGACCCCCGTTATTTGACACAGAGGGGGAAACCTAAAGATACAGTCCAAAAGGTGCACAGGGAGTTCTATATATATATGGGAGAATTTTAAAAAGTAAGTGGTCCTCACTGACCTGGTGCAAAAAGATCTTGTCATCCGGAGGAGTCCTAGCTGCCTAGGTAAAACACTATAGCCCCACACATTCTTACCTGGGAGTAAGGCCCACTGAATGCAGTGAGGCTTTTTTCTGAGTAGACACTTAGTTATTTACTAGATGCAAGTCAGCAACACCAGACGACCCCACTCGGCTAGGCGCTGGGGTAGATTTCATCCCATACCTTGCAGAGCCGGGCTGCCACTGCTGACAAACCCTGCACCCCTTGGCAACATCTGAAGGCACCAGTCTGCTAGGTGCTGGTGTGGATTGCACCCTGCGCCTTGCAGAGTTAGCCCAGGCTGCCACTGGGCCCAACACCGGTGGCAGCAACAAGCAGCTCTGGCTCACCCAGCCCTACCCATTGCCACCCCACTACTGCACATACCTGACAAGCGGGTTCTGGGCTGCAGGCTCTACTGGCCAAAATGGGGGCCATAGCAATTGCCCTCTCCCACCAGAAACAAAGACTGCTCCCAAAAAACGTGTATGGCAAAAAGGAGCACTAGGCCCTGGTGGCCTGCCCCTTTGTTACGTCAAGCCGCTTGTGATTGGCCAAGCGGATAGCTAGTTAATCAGGATTTAAAACAAACAAACAACAAACAAACATTCTCACTTCCCTCTGTGGCCTCCTAGCCTTGTGCTGTGGCCCCCGTTTACATGATTTTCACCTGTAGTCCCCTTAGGGATATCATGGGGTTCCCCAGGGGGGCCATATGCCTCCCGGTTGGGAAACAATGCTTTACTGGGTAAATGGAAGAAGAACACTGTATAACTTGAAGAGCAATAAACAGAGGGCTTTTGTCTTTTTATGTCAGGCCTTGTTCACATCCGGAAGACATTCAACAGCTAAACCTATGGGGCTGAAACTTCCACAGAACTGCACAGTCATTCAGAGCACGAATTAGCTCAGTAAGGGTCATGCCATTCTGACTCATAATTGCTAGGCAATACCTTCAACTTCACCCACCCCGGTGGCTAACTATGAGCAGAATTAACCCTTTAGTTACTAAGTGAATGATTCCTGCTGTTGCACTTCCAACTATTTGTATCCTCCTTTTTTTTTCAAGAGCTCAGGGTGCCATACATTGGAATGTCTTATTTTATCATCTCAACAATCCTGTGAAGTAGGGTAAGCTGAGAGTGCAGGACTGGCCACAGTTGCACAGTGAGCTGCATGACTGAACATAGATATTGAACTTATGACTGGTCCAAGTATTACAGTACACTCAGAGTAGGCAGACTTCCATCTTGCATAATCTACTTTAATTTCTACTAGCCCTCAAGGTCCAGTAATGGAAGCTAAGGGCAAAGAGATACACAAAATTAAGAAAGACATGAACTCTTGAGCACATGCGCAGCCCCAGAACTGTTTTATTATCTTAACTGAGCTCAGTCTTTTTACACAAAAATCTGCTCCTGTTTCCTTCCAACAAGCTTTCTTTGCACAACAGCCTAATTCAGACATTGTGTTGTTGCTCTTGTGAAATAAATGGGAATCTGAAACTGTTGTTTATGTACTGCAAACCAGTGTTCTACCAGTAGATCCCAGTCTCTTACATAAATGTTAGAAAATTTCCTTTACAGAATCATTCAAAACTAAATCAGGGGCCACATGCAAATAATAATATGTCTGATGGATAAAATGTCATCACGTAAAGCTTTCCCCATAATTGTATTCCCATGCTAGAAAAAGGCTTACCCTGTTTAATTTGTGCTAGCCACACAGCTGGCACAAGGCAACATTCTTTTTGTTCCTGGACCGAGACTTCTTGCTGCGAGCTCTTCCTGTTGGAAGAGAATAAAACTCTTCAGAGGGGAAATTACAAGAAATGCCTCACATTCCTTCCTCCAATTGCTTAACAACAGTGCTGCATTATTAGCAACAGCAGCACTTCCATATCTACCCTAATGAGCCTCAGAGCATTGGCTCCATGTTTTGCTTTCTAACTTTCTTTATATATGTCCAAAATGACTTTTCTTTCTTTTTTAATGGGGGTAGCAGGGTTGGATGAACATGAAGATGAACTAGAAAATATTCAGAGTTCTACCCCCAAATTTACTTATTTCACCTTTCATTCATCTGGCACTTATGGGAACTACTTTCAGCTGCAGTTCAGAGAGTTTTGAACTAGTTCAATGAACTTCATTCAGTTGAATTAGTTCATTCTAAGAACTGAAAGTCCTTACCCATGCACTACGGATGCTGATTTAATAAATGTCTATACTGCCCTTCATCTGAGGACCACAGGGCAGTTTACAATATAAAAACACAAAAATACATAATGTAGTAACAAACAAAAACAATACCCACCCACGCTGCCTGTTTGCTGTACAGGATGATAATAGCCTGGTCTTTTTCACATATGGAAATACGTGATAGTAGTAAAGAATACATGCAAGATAACGTACATCAAATACACATGCAATACAGACTCTATGATGAGAGCTTGCACTTCATGCAACACTAGAGTCCTAACTCCATTTACCTGGGAGTAAGCCCCATGTAATTCACTAGGACTTACTTCTGAGTCTGTGAATCTACATAATTATGATCTGTGCCTGTCTACGCAGGCATGCAATTAGGATTGGACAAATCAGCCTATCAGGATGTGATTCTTATGTATAAATGAGCAATCATCATTTATTATGAGTTGTAGTATTTCCCCCACACTGTGTAAATAACAACTTAATCAAACATACTTATTCAAAAGTAGCAATTGTTATAGAAACTTCACCTTCAGGCACAAACAGGAATTGTGTCTCTGATGTTTCCCTTTTTATAAGCTAACGAAAAAGCCAGACATTAAATGTGGCTTCCTTTTTGCAGACATAGTTGTTGCTGCTGTTAGCACTACCACAGATTCATGGGCCTCCACAATTTGTTTTTACTATAATTGTTTTACTCTAACAGGTGCTCAGTAACACCTGTGTTTCTGTGGTTTTACCATTCAGCTAGTAGATGTTTGAAAGCTATTTGGAAAGCAGACAGAGATGAAGTATGTCTCTAATGAAGTAGTAACTCAATGGGTAGTGTATTTCTGGAGGATTATCTGAGGCCTCAGACACGTTGTAAGACATGAGGCTGAAGGCCAAGTACTTTCAACCCCCTGCAAATGCAATAATCCACCAGAAATGCTTTGACTGGTTTGTACCATCTTATTGAAGGCTCTGAAGCAACAATAATTTAAGAGAGTGATGGGTTAAAACAAGTGTGCTGCCTCACTTAATGGGGATTATCAGTATTCAGTTAGGAAGTGTGACTTGCTCTTACAACTATAAAATAGGTTTCATTTCTTAAATCAACTTTAAAAAAAAGTCACATGAGACTTTCCGGACAGCACATTGCAATAAAACTTTTACAAGCCAAGCAATCCACAAATCATTTTGACTGATGCGTCCATGACAGAGCTGTATTTGTTGGCAAGCATTTTCTCCTTTCATCCCTTCTAAGGAAGTGCCTTAATTAAGTCTCTGCAGTTGCTTTGGCAGCCACACCCTATGTAAAAATATTCACAAGGCTGTGCTGTGTGTATTAGTTAACATCTTGGTGATGTCTTCGAATACCACAGGATGGCTAGTTTCAAAATCACTGCTTGCTGACTTCCCCAAATACAGCATTCTAGTTTTACGACTAACACTGTTTGCATATCAGAAAACATGCCAAAATTATTCTAAGTGTCTTCGCATGAAACCAATATCCACTCTGTTTGGAAACCATATCTAAGCTATACACATAGAGCTGGAGACAGACTAAGTGTGCAAGTCTGTTAATCTGTACTCAGAAGTAAGCACCGTTGAGTTCAATGGGACTTATTCCCAGATGTGTATAGGTTTGCAAGCTAAATTTATTGAATTTAGCTCTCATAGAAATCCATGGAATTTAGGTAATGACTAACTCATCCCATTGATTTCAATAGGATCTAAGTTCAATTTTCTTACATCAAGCCCATAATGTGTGTTAATGGATGTTTCCCTGGAGTTTAAAATGAATAATAGCAGTTACAAATGCTGAGCTCCATCTTAAATTAATCTGGATATGGCAACAGCTTCACCTTTACTCAAAAAGAAAAGTCTGACATCTTCTGAACTGATTTAGAACACTAATCCCCAAACATCTCAATAATGAGATTTTATGCTTAAAATAAGATGACTGTTATCACTAGCAGAGTCTCATAATAATGCATGTGACAGGAGTCAACTGCTTTTAGTTTTGTAAAACTAGTATGCAAACTTTCTTCCATACCATTGTTTCATATGAAAATGAAATGTCAAGGTATCTTTCATTTACTTTTGATCTTCTCTAGAATCATGCTTTGGTACTATAAGCTTCCCTGTAAGATTGTGTGTGCATGTATGTACACACACACACACACTTTGTGCTGCTTGGTCTATTAGGTGTGTGTGGGACTACAAACAGCAACACACAACATTGGAAAGATTGTTGTCTACATTAACCTTTTCAGAAGGGGTTTATCCCTGTGCACTGGGAATTATGACATGAAATACTCCACTGTTGAAATTCGGTGTGAGGATTATCATCAGACTCATGTTTTGTTAACCTACAGCAGTTCCAGGCTCCTGTTGGCACACTAATAGTCTGAGGCTCTTGTTGCAAAGTTTTTGAAGCATTAGCGCTTAGTACTAGGGAATGAAAATAAGAAACATTTCAACATCATGGCCATACGGTGTGCTAATGACTGCTCGGTGATACCTTTGTATGTGTATGTCTTCAAACTCATATATGGTTCTTACAAAAATGAAAGCAGATGGATCTGCAGCAGCATAAGTATCCAAAGCCTAGCTCAGAAGCAAATGTGCATGGACTTCAGGGAAGGTTAGATTCACTGGTGAACTTTGCATCTAGATTTTCAAATAACTAGATTTTCCTGTGGTAAAATATTTCCAATGCATGTCCCCCCCACAAGTGGCGTAGGAAGGGGGGTGCAGTGGGTACGGGCCACCTGGGTGTCATCCCTGAAGAGGGTGACAAAATGGCTATGGGCTATGTGACACGGTGGCTCGGGCACCTGCAGGCGCCACGCTGCCCAAAATGGCAGTGTGGGGCTTGCATCCGTCCGCCGCCTCTCCCTCAGCCACCCTACAGCTGGGGGGGAGCAGTGGTGAGGCTTGATGCAGTGCAATATGCCCCAGCTTGCCCCACCCAGTGGGTGGCTTGCCTTGCGCACGTGACGCTCCAGGGGCCTGAGCTACACCACTGCATTGGGGGAACGAGCTACAGATTGCAAACAACAGGAGCAAAGCATAGCAAACAGGTCTGCAACCAGCTACCCCTTTAAGAAGGCTTCAGCTGGGCAATTTGGAATGGGCAGCAAGCAGAGGGGTGCTGTGGGTGCCGTGGTCTTGGGCCCAATTTTGAGAGGGGGTGCAAATAGGCGCCCCCACAGCAGGCTCCTTCATTGGAGCCTGACTCAGCACCAGCAGTTGCTAGAGATCTGTGGATTGCAGATTTAGCATACAGTGGTACTTCTGGTTACGTACTTAATTTGTTCCGGAGGTCCATTCTTAACCTGAAACTGTTCTTAACCTGAAGCACCACTTTAGCTAATGGGGCCTCCTGCTGCTGCTGCCACGCCACCACCGCACGATTTCTGTTCTCATCCTGAAGCAAAGTTCTTAACCCGAGGTACTATTTCTGGGTTAGCAGAGTCTGTAACCTGAAGCGTATGTAACCGGAAGCGTGTGTAACCCGAGGTACCACTGTATATATAATGCAGAAAAACCTTGGCCTCATATGTTTATTTATTCATTTTATATAGACACTCGTCTATGGCACGGATGGGTTTCAAACATAACAGTCCTAAAAATGCTAAATAATAAGTAGCAATAAAATATACATATTTCAGCTGTTTCTGGGCACAATTCAAAGTGCTGGTTATCACCTATAACACCCTACATGATGTAGGTCCAAGCTATCTGAAAAACCATATGTGAACCTGCATATGAGAACCTGCATATGAACACCTGCATATGAGAACCTGCTCAGGTTTTGAGATCTTCAGGGATGTCCTTCTCGGTCCCACTACCCTCACAGGCCTGCTTGGTGCGGACATGGGAGAGGGTCTTCTCAGTGGCTGCTCCCAAACTCTGGAACTGCCTCTTTGGAGAAGCTAGACTGGCTCCCTCCTAGTTGTCCTTCAACTGGCAGGTGAAGACTTTCTTTTCCAAAAGGCCTTTGGGAACTGACTGCTTTAATGAAAGGACTGGTGCTGTGCTGTTTTTATGTAATTATTCGTATTTTTTAAACACAGTTCATATATGTACATAGTTTTAATTCTACCAATGTTTAATTGTATTTTAATGATTGATTTTTCTATACAGTGGTACCTCGGGATGCGAATGGGATCCGTTCCGGAGCCCCGTTCCCATCTGGAATGGAACGCAAGACGCAATGGCGTGTCTGTGTGTGCATGGGTCGCGTTTCGCCGCTTCCACGCATACGCATGGCGTCATTTTGAGCGTCTGCGCATGGGCGGGCGGCGAAGCCCGGAAGTAACACGCTCCGTTACTTCCGGGTTGCCGTGGAGTGTAACTCGAATGCACTCAACCCGAAGCACATTCAACTCGAGGTATGACTGTATTTTTAGTAAAATTATAAAAATCTGTAAACTGCTTTGAGTTTTCTCAGGAAAAAAGGGGAAGTATAAATAACTATATAATAACAACAACAAAATAAAAAAAATAAAAATAAAAATAAAAAATAAAATAATTTCTTTCCCAGATGTTTCTGGCTGGAGTTAGGCATTGGTTACATGTTTCCAGTTCAGTAGCCCATGGAATGATAAAGGGCAAAGCATTTGCATCTGAAGGTGACCAGTCTGCGTTCTAGACTGGGATTACCTCACCAAAACAATGTTTAGAAGGTGGTTTAAAGTAAGTTAGCTCCAGAGTGTGGGCAGAGTGCAAATCCCAAGCTTGTAAGCAACAATGAGAAACTTCCTTCCAATTATACCTGGGGTGACCCCTTCATACCTTACTTGTGGGCTTCGGGAGACAACTGTTGACCACTATGGGAAGGGGGATTCTGGACTAGCATTAAAACCCTATGCACAAAGCCAATGAGGTTGAACCTAGGGTAAGTGTGCATAGGATTGCAGCCTTTATTTTTAGTGCGATCTAACGGGGCTCTTCCTCTGTTCTTATTCCCTGAAAAATAGAGGACATACCCAAGCTAAAAGAGAGGTAAATATGTTCCAATATGCTTCTTCTACTTAAATATTTAGACATTTATGGTGGCAGTGCAAGATTTAGGAAAATCTTTACCACAGCATCCATGAGTCTTGCGCTGAACCTGCTGGTTATTTTGCAATCAAATACTCTACTGTCATTTATACATGCAAAAAAGCTGACTTACCAGATGGCCTGAGCTATGGCAACTTATTTCTTTATTGACAATATGCATACTTTACTATTACATTTTGGTGAAGGCTGCCACTGATGTGCAATCTTTATAACTACAACGAATCCAGAATGTAGCAGCTAGACTGGTGACTGGAAGTGGCCACCGAGACCACATAACTTGAAAGACCTACATTGGCTCCCAGTATGTTTCTGAGCACAATTCAAAGTGTTGGTGCTGACCTTTAAAGCCCTAAATGGCCCCAATCCTTTATACCTGAAGGAGCGTCTCCACCCCCATCATTCTACCCAGACACTGAGGTCCAGTGCCGAGGGCCTTTTGGCGGTTCCCTCACTGCGAGAAGCCAAGTTACAAGGAAGCAGGCAGAGAGCCTTCTCGGTAGTGGCACCCACTCTGTGGAACGCCCTCCCACCAGATGTCAAAGAGAACAACTACCAGACTTTTAGAAGACATCTGAAGGCATGTTTAGGGAAGCTTTTAATGTTTGATGCATTACTGTATTTTAATATTTTGTTGGAAGCCCCCCAGAGTGGCTGGGGAGGCCCAGCCAGATGGGCGGGGTATAAATAATAAATTATTATTATTATTATTATTATTATTATTATTATTATTATTATTATTATCAGTTGTTGCTGTTTTAATTGTAACTTTGCATCCACGAGCTGCAGTATTTGAAAGCGACATTTTTGTTTTGATACCCAGCGCTTGTTATTTCAAGTGACTTACACAAATCCGCATGCACCATAATTAAAATTCTGTCCTAATCATCAAAGGAAAGTGAAGGCCAAGGCAATGCATGTCATGCATATCTTGTTTCTCCACTGATCATCCGGTAAAAATAAATCACAACGGATGCCACATAACCTCTCCTTTCATTGTTTAAACAGCTAGACAGGCTAATGTGAAAACCCATTCTAGGAATCCCATACGAGTATGAAAATATGCTGTACAATAACTATTAAACATTTCTATAATAACGCTAATACTTTTTAGTATTATAAATAATGTTACAGCCTAGTTAGTACAAGAGTGATTCTACCTGCCTCGTCTTTACTGCTGAAGCGGCTTAGGGTACAGCAGATGTGCATGTCCAATGCCCTCTGCCAGGAGGGGAGCTTTAATGCTGTGGAGGCTCCTTCTGCGATCACATAAATTGCAGTCGATAGGACTGCTGGTGGTAACAAACAAAGAGACACAAGGCAGATTGTTATGAACTGGGAGTGGAGCAGAGCCAGCCATGGATCTGCTGGTTCCAAAGCTGATCTGTTCCCTAGAGCAGTGTTTCCCAACCTTTTTTGGGCAAAGGCACACTTGTTTGATGAAAAAAATCTCGAGGCACACCACCATTACAGCCCCGTGACGTCAGCGCGCAGCGTCACGCTGGGAGGGACGCACGAAAGTGTAACTTTCAATTTTTTCCCCTCCCCCTTGCCGGGGAACCTCCAAGCTTTGGGGGTGGGGGGGGAGGAGGCAGCAAAGTGAGGGACTGAGGGACTCCTCCAACGACAAGGGTTGGGGAAGAAGAGAAAGGGCTATTCCGCTCCAGTCACGGGAGGGGAATATGTACTGGCCCAACTGGTGTGCGGTCTTCGGAAAGCGGGGTGCGGGAAGGAAGCCTAGGCTCGGGGTCCACCGACCTCGGCGGAGAAAGGCAACAACCGGAGCCGATGACGAGCCGGCGCGTGCGTGCAGCGGCTGGCCTCGAGCTCGGGAAGCTGCGCGCAGCGATGTTGACGCGGGGCGCGCGAGAGCTTGGGGGCGGGGCGGGAGAGAGAGAGAAAGAGTTGGCAGCACCAGGCGCTGTTACTTATTGCGCTGCGGACGCTGCCAGCAACTGCGGTGGTTGTGCGGCGGCCGCCGCCGCAGAACGTCCTCGTCAGTCAGCTGAGCTGCCTGGCGGCGTAGGGAGCCGAGGGGCGGGGCTTCCTTTCTGAAGGAGCTGAGGGTGGGGGTCCTCCGGCGCCTTCGGCGAAACGGCACCGGCCCAGAGCGCTTCTAGGAGGCTGCCTTTGTGCGCGACGTAAAGCCCTCTTTCCCTCCCTCCAGCCCCGTGTCACATGTGGAAAAGGGGGCTGGATCCAGTGACGCAACTCGGAAAACTGTTAGGGAAGCCAGAGCAGGAAAGTGAGTGGGAAGCGGCGTCACCGCTTTAACCCACGTTTCCTTTTTGAAAGAGAAACCAGTGTTTCCCAACCTTTTTTGGACTCGCTCGCGGCACACCAGGCAACATCTCGCGGCACACTAGTGTGCCGCGGAACACCGGTTGGGAAACACTGCCCTAGAGCAAAAGATTATCTCCTCATTCCCTCGCAAAAGTCTGCTTCGAATTGATCTGCCCTGTATAGTACTTTCCCCACTTCCTCTGTTGTGTCCCCGTGTCAGTTTTTAGATTGTGGATTTCTCAGGGCTAGACCCTCTTGAACCATGAATGGCACCATGCATAAAAACATGGCTATCTTACAGCACAAAGAGAAATGAAACTAGTTTATATCTCAGAATGCTACTGTATAATGGTAGTGTGTAAATGCTGTTAATGTTTTTAGAATACATAAAGGTGAAACTGGGATGCGGGTGGCGCTGTGGTCTAAACCACAGAGCCTAGGGCTTGCCGATCAGAAGGTCCGTGGTTCGAATCCACATGACGGGGTGTTTGTTTGGTCCCAGCTCCTGCCCACCTAGCAGTTTGAAAGCACTTAAAAAGATTATACCATCCCAATCAAAGTTACAACAGTGACAATTCAAAGTTGATTGGAACCCTAAAATTGTGGTTATGTGTCAAGACTCAAGCAGGTGAAGATTTACAGTGGAGTAAAATGGTATTTTACAGAGACAAGACCATCACACAAACTTCCACAGATTCCACATTTGTCCAGGTTATCATGTGATAGGGGAAACTTTCCAACAGAGAGGCTTAGTCAGCTGATGAAAGCCACACACTGTAACTGTCTCCTCCTGATTCAAGAAAGCATTTGCTAAAGTAATATTGTCTTTTGCACGTATAGTGAAGGGATATTACTGCCTTACCCACCACCTAAAGCTGGTGACAGCATAATCCTTGATCTACATTCTGAAAGTTTAGAAAAGACTGGAGTGTGAAACTTACCATACCTTTGATGTTTACACATGCTCTTGGATCCCAAAATACTGCCCCATGTAATGAGTGACTATTTTCTGTTCCTTTCATAATTTTGAAACAGCAACTGTTCACCACTAAAGCTAAAACAAAAGAAACTGAGCAAAACATAATATGCTCCTAATTCACAAATATTATTTTAAATTTTTTTAATTGGAATTTATTGTGCACAAACTCTGAGATTTGCGGGGCCAAACAGGAATGTTATAGCAGAACAAGCAACATTCAGATCAGTGTGCTAGTTGCTCACCCAAGCCCACGTCTATAAGCAGAACTTGTAGTCAATGAAGTTTACTCAGAGTAGGCCCACTGAAATTAATGAACATGAATAAGTTAGGTCCATTGATTTAAATGGGCCTATTCTGCATAAAACTTAGTTGAATACCACCCAGAAATATTTGCATTTTTCATCTGGACTTGCTCACTCAAGAAGTTTCAGCCACAGAGACAGGAGGGAGGAGCAAAGCCCTATAATAATCAGAGCCACTAATCCCAGGAACAGTAGGAGTCAGTGCTGCCTATAACACTTGCATGCTCAAAATATAAGTAAATGAAAAAGTGAGTAAATATCTATTCACAAGTACCTCAGAATTTTCTTTGTGAATTGTTGCATCTGGAGGGCAGGAAACTACCGTACTTTTGGAAAGGAGCATGAACTACCCTCATTTACAGTAAGTTACAAAATACAGCAACAACTACCTTTCACTGAAGTTTGCATAGCCCCAGGGGGCAAGAATGGTTAAACCTCCTAACTATTTTGTCTATTGAGTGTGAACTTGTAAGAAATCGATTTTGGGAAGATGATGTTTTTGTAATTAAAAAATAAACTTTAAAATGAATTGACCTCCTTTGGCAATCTTCACAGAACTTTAGCCTAATGGTTGCCATCAATTTGATTTGAATTAATTTTATAATGAAATGATTTTTAGAATGTTGTACTATTTTATTGTTGTTAGCCGCCCTGAGTCCGGCTTCGGCTGGGGAGGGTGGGATATAAATAAAATTTATTATTATTATTATTATTATTATTATTATTATTATTAGTTTATGGAATGTTTGGTGCTGTGTTAGTAAACCAGAATAAAAACAAAACAAAACAGTGAAAGGATAGTAATTTTATGAATACCAGTCAAAAAGTTACTAAATAGCAGAATGTTTCTTCAAGCAGGTTGTTATATTAAACAAAGGTACAGTAGCAGACAGGATGTGCTTGTTTGCAGGGCATGGTAGAAAAATCCCAGTGTGGATCAGAGTGTAATTTCAAACATATGGTAAATGCAATTTCAGAATTAGAATGTAAACTTTTACTGCATGAGTTGTGATATTGTATTAATAGCATGGGACTGTGGTATGTGTGGTGGAGGGGGCCTGTCTTGGATGTTTGTACTGGGCCCTTAAATTTAGAGCATTAAATAGCAGTTTAACATATAAACAAACTGACATGCAAGTTCTGATAGTATAAGCTGATTATTCAGAAAGCATAACCTGAATAGTTTGAAACTTTTAAAAATAATTGGAAAATTGCCTAAAAACACAGTTGAAGAGAAACTTTGAATTAAAGTAATTTTTTAGAAGAGCTAGTGGTAAAGGTTCTGTGAGCGACTATATTTTGCTTTTCTTTTCTTCCATTGTTTTGCATGTGGCAAAATCATTTTCACTTCAGCCAAGTGGATGTAAACTGTGTGTAATTGGAATTTTCCACTTATTCAGAGTGGTTATTGTATTTTACAGCCGCTGTACACACTTCTTGTACAGGTGTGAATGTCTATAGGAGACAGGGCAGTTGGAGAATCATATTTCACAAAAGAGTAGACATTTTAAAATCTGAGAATAAACTGAAGTCTAAAATACATTTTGGCTTACTATGACACAAGACAATCATATAGGATTGGGTTGTGCAGCCTTGGTTCTTTGTTGCTCCGTCTCTTCCAGACTCTTGTTTAGATCCTACCAACCTCCCATTTTTCATAGCCTTGCAACACGGCTGGCATTTAAGGAATCAAAAGCATTTGAATAAGTCAGACATTTCCTTTTCATCTCAAAGCCCAATATGGATTGCCAGGTTCAAAAGCAAAAATTAAGAAATGATTTCACCTGCTTAAAAACATGGTAGGAGAAGGGGGGCACATCTACAGCACACTTAAACTGGACGTTTTCCGTTTCCTGAAACCCTTGGAATGATAAGTTTTCTATAGGTGCTGTATGGAAGGAGCCTATGGTTCTCAGAGGGCAAAGTGTGGGAGCACAAAGACAGACATTGTGTATGTGTATGCATAATCTTGCACCATTTTTTATATATAGAAGATCCCAAGTTTTCCTAACTGATTTCCAGTGCAGGTAATTTACCTCTTGTTCCTTCAGAAACAGGGAAAAATATCCTAAGGCTGGAAAAACATACAAGAAAAAAGAGCAATTGATTTGAAACTTTAGAACCAGGAATAGTATGGGACAGGACAATGTTTTGCTACCTTGTTTTTGCTCCTTAACCTTGAAATTGTTACATTTTCATAAAGCCTTTGTCTTTTAGTTATCTATGGCCTTTTTGTGTGGATAGGATTTTTAAACCAGTTTTTAAAAAGTAAAATTGTCTTCTAGATTGTTTAGATTGTTGGTTTTTTACTGCTGGTTTTAATGTATGTTTGTGTATGCTTGCTTGTTTTGCTTAAAACTCACTATGAGTTGCCATGGCAAAAAAAGCAACAAATAAAAAAAAATACCATGAAATTACAGACACTTTTGAGACTTTCTAATCCTATCTCTAACAGATAATTCTCAGAAGTCTCACCAAACTAAAATTCCCAATATTTTTAATGGAAAGCCATAGCTGTACAATTAGTAGAAACCAATATTTATAAGTCTGTAGTATATATGTGGTCTTGATGAGAAGGAAGCATAGTTTCATGGAATGGGCCAAAAGTATAAAGAAAACTTGTAAAGCAAAATGGAAGTTGATGAAAGGGAACACTACATACCTGAGTTTGGAACTGTAAAAACATTTCTGAGTTCAAGAGGAGACGAAAAGCACAAGCAGATGTAAAAGTGATGAAAGAGGTGTAAATCCTTACTGTAGTAGTAAGGCTAGTGAAATTAGAAGATGGAAAAGCGCACCTGCAGTAAATACAATAGTAAATCAGGCATAGTTTGGGATTACACATTGCAGTCTGACTACTCTCATTTTATTGTTGTGAAATTGTTCTTCCGAGTTTCCCACCCTCCATTCATTTTGTGTAACAGACACTAAATCACCACTTACCCTGAATATGATAAAAACTATAATTTAAAAACAATCCCATGCCAACTGAACTGTTTTTTGTTTAATGCCACCTAAATAGTCTTCACATAAATATTATTTTCCCATAGTGTTTAGTTTTAACTACTGAATATGACTGACGTTTTAAAGGTCCTTTATCTTGTTTCACTTTCAGATATATTATTCCTTGATATAAAATGGTGTCCCATATACACTTTACCCTCCATTTGCATAGATACCAGGGTTTAAATTGGTAATATTGTTACAAAATTAAACTCCGTTATTGTAGGTGTTATTTTCCTTTCTTCTCTACCAAGAAACTTGCGTGGAAAACGTTGCCTGTTCAGGAAATTACAGACATATGTATGCACACAGAAAAAGTGTAAGCTTAAGGCACAATGTGAACAAATCAAAGATTAACCTTCTGTACGGCCAAGTTAATTTTTCGAATCTTTATGCTTTATGAAAAATCAATTAGCTTCAGAGGCTGAAGCAGGTAGGCAGCTGCTGAGCCTCAAGAGAGCCGCCTCATATGGGTCACACCAATCTGACTAGCTGCCACTGAGGAAAAACAGACACTGCTGTTGAGAGGGTCCCATGGGAGACTTAGTTCTACTTGGGTGATCCTCTGTGCTAAAATGGTACATCCTGCAGCAGCCCCTCCTTCCATCCCATCCCAAGCAAGTAACTGAGCGACAGTTCAAGAGAACAGCCACCTCCACTTGCTTGCCTGCCCTTTCCTGCTGCATCGGCACTGGGGATTGGGCCCAGCACTGCCACTCAGATCGGTAAATGAGCAAGATGAGTGATGATGGCAAGGGGCAACCACCATTTCCGCAGTGTGGAAGCTCAGATGGCACACTCTCCACAGACTCACATTCCCTCTGGGTAATGCAGCGAGCCCTGCACAGAGACAATGACCACAGGTGGTAGCAATTGCCGTGGCAAGCAGATGACGCTGCCTCCTTCCATACTTTATCCCTCTGGGTGGCACAGTAGGTCTTCTGGGTCCAACTGCACCCACTGCACCACCCAGAAAGAATGAAAGCAGCAATAGCTGCTCCTTGCAGTTGCCTGCTTAGGTGAGCAAGCAGTGGAAGCTGCAACCAGTGGCTGCCTCCTACTTCTTGCTACTCTCAATCGCTCTCTGAGTGGTGTTGATGGGCTTCCTAGGGGAGTGAGGCAGGGAAGCAAAGGAGGATGAAACCTGCCAATGCCATGTTGCTGAGGAAATTCCAGAAAAATGACCTGTGCCGACCATGTGACAGTCAAATACACTTTGTGGCATGACTATTAGCTGGGAATTTTCTCAGTGCATCTGTAAGAAATGCATGGATGTGCAATCATCCAATGTGGCAATCTACTTGCAGGTTTCACAGTTAACTACTGTATATGGAAGGGGTGTTTTTTTGTCTAAGAGTCCTTCCAGATTGAGTCCTATGTGAAAATAGCGACTATCACATATTGGCAAAATCAGGTTGCACAACGGAAGCTGACCTGGTGCTCTTGCTCAACAAACCTGCTTCTTCAGAAAAACACAATCTTTTGCATTAAGATAAGGAAAGTGACAGGGAAATGACTTTTCTCAGCAACAGTTGCTTCACAAGTTTACTGAGCATTTGTCTTGATTTGTTCACACTAAGTTTGTGAGGAGCTCATATGCTGCTTATTGAACACTCAACAGTGATGTCAAGCAATTGTTAACTTTCCCCTTTCCTTGTGGAAAATAACCATGGGGTAGGGAAGGGAAGCAGATTTGCTGTGCAAGAATAACACATAAACTTTATTTGTGCAACCTGAATTTGTTGGTATTTGATTGAATTCCACCCTAAAATAAGGACAATCCGAGGAAAGGGGAAAATACACTGGAAAGAGTAGGGGAACGAATGGCTTGAGGCAAGGCCCTCAAGCTCCCAGGGAACAGATCGTCTGGAAGCCACCCAAGAAACATAACGGGGCGAAAAGTCTCCTCAATCACTTTGGCTGTAATGTGGTGTTTTAGGGGTCCTGTGAAGGGCTGAAACACACGTCGCCTTGAGGAGGCGCGAGTAAAAGGCCACCTTATTCCCACAGGCGAATAGAGGCGCGCAGGCGGCCACGCGAGCGAACCTCTCGCAAAGGACAGGAGGGCGACGCGAGTGGGCCAGGCGCCACGTGCGCGCGAGAGAGGCTGTGCGCGCCAAAAAAAACCCTCTGGCGGGTGCAGGCGCGAGGCGCGGAATGGCGCCAAAACGTCCTGAGGGGAGAAGGAAAGCAACATGTCGCTGCGCC